TCTTCCCCTCACCTGTGTTATACCCACACTCTTCCCCTCACCTGTGTTATACCCACACTCTTCCTCTCACCAATGTTTGTTATACCCACACTCTTCCCCTCACCAATGTGTTATACCCACACTCTTCCCCCACCAATGTTTGTTATACCACACTCTTCCCCTCACCTGTGTTATACCCACACTCTTCCCCTCACCTGTGTTATACCCACACTCTTCCCCTCACCAATGTTTGTTATACCCACACTCTTCCCCTCACCTGTGTTATACCCACACTCTTCCTCTCACCAATGTTGTTTTACCCGCATCTTCCCTCACCTGTGTTATACCCCACTCTTCCTCTCACCCAAAGTTTGTTTACCCACACTCTTCCTCTCACCAATGTTTGTTATACCCACACTCTTCCCCTCACCAATGTTTGTTATACCCACACTCTTCCCCTCACCAATGTTTGTTATACCCACACTCTTCCCCTCACCAATGTTTGTTATACCCACACTCTTCCTCTCACCAATGTTTGTTATACCCACACTCTTCCCCTCAAGAATGTTTGCTATTTCCCACACACTTCCCCCCACCAATGTTTTTTTACCACACTCTTCCCCTCACCTGTTTGTTATACCCACACTCTTCCTCTCACCAATGTTTGTTATACCCACACTCTTCCCCTCACCAATGTTTGTTATACCCACACTCTTCCTCTCACCAATGTTTGTTATACCCACACTCTTCCCCTCACCAATGTTTGTTATACCCACACTCTTCCCCTCAAGAATGTTTGCTATACCCACACACTTCCCCTCACCAATGTTTGTTATACCCACACTCTTCCCCTCACCAATGTTTGTTATACCCACACTCTTCCCCTCACCAATGTTTGTTATACCCACACTCTTCCCCTCACCAATGTTTGTTATACCCACACTCTTCCCCTCACCAATGTTTGTTATACCCACACTCTTCCCCTCACCTGTGTTATACCCACACTCTTCCCCTCACCTGTGTTATACCCACACTCTTCCCCTCACCTGTGTTATACCCACACTCTTTCCCCCCCCCCTGTGTTATACCCACATCTTTCCCCTCACCAATGTTTGTTATACCCCCACCTTCCCTCACCAATGTTTGTTATACCCACACTCTTCCCTCACCAATGTCGTTATACCCACACTCTTCCTCTCACCATGTTTGGGTTTTACCCACACTCTTCCCTCAATAATGTTGTTATACCCACACTCTTCCCTCACCAATGTTTGTTATACCCCCACTCTTCCTCTCACCAATGTTTGTTTACCACACTCTTCCCTCACCAATGTTTGTTATACCCACACTCTTCCCTCACCAATGTTTGTTATACCACACTTTCCCCTCACCAATGTTGTTATACCCACTCTTCCCCTCACCAATGTTTGTTATACCCACACTCTTCCCCCCACCTGTGTTATACCACACTCTTCCTCACCAATGTTGGGTTTTACCCACACTTTTCCCCTCACCAATGTTTGTTATAACCCACACTCTTCCCCTCACCAATTTTTTGTTTATACCCACACTCTTCCCCTCACCAAGTTTGTTATACCCCACTCTTCCTCACCCTTTTTTGTTATACCCACACTCTTCCCTACCAATTTTTTGTTATACCCACACTCTTCCTCTCACCAATGTTTGTTATACCCACACTCTTCCCCTCACCTGTGTTATACCCACACTCTTCCCCTCACCTGTGTTATACCCACACTCTTCCCCTCACCTGTGTTATACCCACACTCTTCCCCTCACCTGTGTTATACCCACACTCTTCCCCTCACCGTGGTTATACCCACATCTTCCCCTCACCTGTGTTATTACCCACACTCTTCCCCTCACCTGTGTTATACCCACACTCTTCCCCTCACCTGTGTTATACCCACACTCTTCCCCTCACCTGTGTTATACCCACACTCTTCCTCTCACCAATGTTTGTTATACCCACACTCTTCCCCTCACCTGTGTTATACCCACACTCTTCCTCTCACCAATGTTTGTTATACCCACACTTTTCCCCTCACCAATGTTTGTTATACCCACACTTTTCCCCTCACCAATGTTTGTTATACCCACACTCTTCCCCTCACCAATGTTTGTTATACCCACACTCTTCCCCTCACCAATGTTTGTTATACCCACACTCTTCCCCTCACCAATGTTTGTTATACCACCCCTCTTCCCTCACCAAGTTTGTTATTACCCACACTCTTCCCCTCACCCAAAGTTTGTTATACCCACACTCTCCCCCTCACCAATGTTTGTTTAAACCACAAATCTTCCCCCCACCCATGTTATACCCACCTCTCCCCTCACCTGTTTTGTAATACCACACCTCTCCCCTCACCTGTTTTTGTAATACCCACACTCTCCCCTCACCTGTGTTTGTAATACCCACACTCTTCCCCTCACCTGTGTTTGTAATACCCACACTCTCCCCTCACGTGTGTTTGTATTTCCCACACTCTCCCCCTCACCCGTGTTTTTAATACCCCCACTCTCCCCCTCACTGTGTTTTAATACCCCCACTCTCCCCCCCACCCGTGTTTTGTAATACCCCCACTCGCCCCTCACCTGTGTTTGTAACCCACACTCGCCCCCTCACTGTGTTTGTAATACCCCCACTCGCCCCCCCCACCTGTGGTTGTAATACCACCTCTCCCTGACCCGTGTTTGTAAAACCCACACTCGCCCCTCACCTGTGTTTGTAATACCACACTCTCCCCTCACCGTGTTTGTAATACCCACACTCGCCCCCATCACTGTGTTTGTAATTTCCACACTCTCCCCCTCACTGTGTTTGTAATACCCCCATCGCCCCCTGACCTGTGTTTGTAATACCACACTCGCCCCCTCACCTGTGTTTGTAATACCCACACTCTCCCCCTCACTGTGTTTTTTAATACCCACACTCTCCCCTCACCTGTGTTTGTAATACCACATCGCCCCTCACCTGTGTTTGTAATACCCACACTTCCCCTCACCCGTGTTTGTAATACCCACACACCCCCCTCACCTTTTGTTTGTAATACCCACACTCGCCCCTACCTGTGTTTGTAATACCCCCACTCTCCCCCTCACCTGTGTTTGTAATACCCACACTCTCCCCCCCACCTGTGTTTGTAATACCCACACTCGCCCCTCACCTGTGTTTGTAATACCCACACTCTCCCCTCACCTTGTTGTAATACCCACACTCTCCCCCTCCCTGTGTTTTTAATACCCACACTCGCCCCTCCACCCGTGTTTGTAATACCCACACTTCCCCCTCACCTGTGTTTGTAATACCACACTCGCCCCTCACCCTGTGTTTGTAATACCACACTCCCCCCTCACCTGTGTTTGTAATACCCAAAACTCGCCCCCTCACCTTTTGTTTGTTATACCCACACTCTTCCTCACCTATGTTATACCCACACTCTTCCCTCAAACCCATGTTATACCCAACTCTCCCCCTCACTGTGTTTGTAATACCACACTCTCCCCTGACCTGTGTTTGTAATTTCCACACTCGCCCCTCACCTGTGTTTGTAATACCCACACTCTCCCCTCACCTGTGTTTGTAATACCCACACTTCCCCCCCACCTGTGTTTTAATACCCCCACTCGCCCCCTCACCTGTGTTTGTTATACCCACACTCTTCCCCTCACCTAGTTATACCCACACTCTCCCCTACCTGTGTTTGTAATACCACACTCGCCCCTCACCTGTGTTTGTAATACCACACTCTCCCCCTCACCTGTGTTTGTAATACCCACACTCTCCCCTCACCTGTGTTTGTAATACCCCACTCTCCCCTCACCTGTGTTTGTTTAAAACCCACACTCTCCCCCCCCACCTGTGTTTGTAATACCCAAAACTCTCCCCTCACCTGTGTTTGTATACCACACTTTCCCCCTACCTGTTTTGTAATACCCACACTCTCCCCCTCACCTGTGTTTGTTTAAAACCCACACTCGCCCCTCACCTGTGTTTGTAATACCCACACTCTCCCCCTCACCTGTGTTTGTAATACCCACACTCTCCCCCTCACCTGTGTTTGTAATACCCACACTCGCCCCCTCACCTGTGTTTGTAATACCCACACTCTCCCCTACCTGTGTTTGTAATACCCACACTCTCCCCCTCACCTGTGGGTTTTTAATACCCACACTCGCCCCCTCACCTGTGTTTGTAATACCCACACTCTCCCCCTCACCTGTGTTTGTAATACCCACACTCTCCCCCTGACCTGTGTTTGTAATACCCACACTCTCCCCCTCACCTGTGTTTGTCAATTAGAGAAAATGGTGCCTTAATGATAAAGGAAGGTTGTTATTCTGAAGGTAAGACGCTACCCAACCCGTTTTTAGTAAAAACCTCTTTGTTTCCTTCCCCCAAGTGCTGTATGACTCTTACTGAGCATAGTACTTTCCCTCTATATGCAATAGTTTTGTTAATTTATAGCTAAATCTGTACACTTTTTGCATAAGAACATCCTCTTACCTGCAGCTACAGCACTGTCAAGAACATCCTCTTACCTGCAGCTACAGCACTGTCAAGAACATCCTCTTACCTGCAGCTGCAGCACTGTCAAAAAACATTCTCTTATCTGCAGCTACAGCACTGTCAAGAACATCCTCTTACCTGCAGCTGCAGCACTGTCAAGAACATTCTCTTACCTGCAGCTACAGCACTGTCAAGAACATCCTCTTACCTGCAGCTGCAGCACTGTCAAGAACATTCTCTTACCTGCAGCTACAGCACTGTCAAGAACATCCTCTTACCTGCAGCTACAGCACTGTCAAGAACATCCTCTTACCCGCAGCTAAAAGCACTGTCAAGAAACATCCCTTACCTGCAGCTACCCGCACTGTCAAGAACATCCTCTTACCTGCAAACTACAGCATGTCAAGAACATCCTCTTACCTGCAGCTACAGCACTGTCAAGAACATCCTCTTACCTGCAGCTACAGCACTGTCAAGAACATCCTCTTACCTACAGCTACAGCACTGTCAAGAACATCTGAGGTGCGAGTAGCAAAATACTGCTGTCCTCTGCCACGACCTCTCATTCCTCTCTGCAAGTTATAAATATTGCACCTGATATAGCATATAGCCACCATATCTAGTGAAAATGACAGAAAAGTCTACAATTTGTTAAGGGATACTACTCAACCCTCTGCCTATTACAACCAGGTTTTTCAGATACAGTTAGGTATCTTTATTTTGAAACGTTTCGCCTACACAGTAGGCTTCTTCAGTCGAGTACAGAAAAGTTGATAGAAGCAGAAGAGACTTTTCTGTACTCGATTGAAGAAGCCTACTGTGTAGGCGAAACGTTTCAAAATAAAGATACCTAACTGTTGCATATGTGTCTTACCTAACAACCTGTCGGTATTTTATACCATTTTAATGTTCATTACTAATACTCTATAAACTGTTATAGATTTTATCAGAATATCATCGTTATTTTTATCACTGCAATACTGATTAGCTTTTTTACACATTATTATTAATATCATACTTTATATTATATAATCTGTCATATCTGTTATGATTTCCAAGAATCTTCTGCCCAGTAGCTGGGTCCCAGACCACGACTTTTACACTGGTAATAAAATATAGGAATAAATGCTATTAAGAACTATACAAACTAGTGAAGTGTGTAATAATGTAAATATAAGTTAGAAAGGTTTACCAGTTATCTAATATGTTTACAGTAATAATATTGGTAGAATTAACGACAATACGTAAAGAAGACACAAGTGTAATTAATGTGGTATTTTATTCTGTGTTTATGTATTGTTTGTAATGGCTTGATAAAGCTCCTGGAGGGCGAAACGTTGCCACAATAAATGTCACATTAGTTGCACTTGTGTCCTTTTACTTTACATATTGTTCATAAGACACAGAGAAAAAAATAGAAATCCTGTCGAAATCAAGTGTAAATCTGTCGAGTGTTATATACATTTGAGAATTAAATCCTATTTTTGGGGATTAATGAATCTTTATTGTAAATGGAAAGGCGGATTATGGTCTCAGTCGTATTTCTGAAGTCAATTAGTCTTAGGTCGAACATAACCAGTTAATTTATAACTTCAAATATCGATCGTATCAGTAGAAACAAGAAATTATTTTCGGCTATTAACACACCGGTGTATTGTCACTTTAGAAGCTGTTATCCTCTCTCAGATTATTTCAAAGTCCAGCACTGTCTATGGTCTTCTACCATAATCTTCTCCCACATCAAAATGAACCAAAAGCTCCATCAAACTAAACCACTGATTTGTGTCAACGGTCAGGCGATGTTCATTTAATGTCCAAGAGACAGCCATGACACACTGGAAGACCTGCTGACAGTGTGTCATAGGTTATTCAGGTATATAAAAATACAGTTATATAGATTATAATACATAGATTATAATACATAGCAGCATATGTGTAGAGAACCTGGGATAACCCAGAAAAAAATCAAACAAAGTCGCTTATTTCCATCGGGGTCCTTGATTATTATTATTATTATTAGTAGTAGTAGTAGTATTGTCATTATTATTATTATCAGTAGTAGTAGTAGTAATATTATATTTTTATTTACTACAAGTACATGTACAAGGTATACAGACCATAGCTGACATCAGTGACATACTACTATATAGAAAGCCGCTTGTTATGCTGAGCATTTCGGGCAAATTAGGTCAGTTTGGTCCCAGGATGCGACCCACACCAGTCGACTAACATCCAGGTACCCATTTTATTGATGGGTGAACATAGACAACCGGTGTAAAGAGAAACGCCCAATGTTTCTACCCTCAGTGGGAATTGAACCCAGACCCTCGCCACGGGGATAGCTCCTTCAAACCCCTGCACAGAAGCCCTCCATTATTATTATAATCAAAAAAGAAGCGCTAAGCCACAAGGACTATACAGCAGAAGCCCTCCAAACTTTCCTCATCACTGGTAAACACCCCTCCAGATGGATCGAAAAAACTGGTACAACCAAAGCTTCGTCTTGAAGCCAAACATGATGCCCTAAGCTGTATTAATAACTTAGTCACACAGCACACTGCCTCCCAAATTATTTACGTTGATGGTTCTGTTCACCAGTCCACTGGTCCAGCTGGTAGTGCTGCTGTTGTCATACATTGGTGCAGCTGGTAGTGCTGCTGTTGTCATACATTGGTGCAGCTGGTAGTGCTGCTGTTGTCATACATTGGTGCAGCTGGTAGTGCTGCTGTTGTCATACATTGGTGCAGCTGGTAGTGCTGCTGTTGTCATACATTGGTGCAGCTGGTAGTGCTGCTGTTGTCATACATTGGTGCAGCTGGTAGTGCTGCTGTTGTCATACACTGGTGCAGCTGGTAGTGCTGCTGTTGTCATACACTGGTGCAGCTGGTAGTTCTGCTGTTGTCATACACTGGTGCAGCTGGTAGTGCTGCTGTTGTCATACACTGGTGCAGCTGGTAGTGCTGCTGTTGTCATACACTGGTGCAGCTGGTAGTGCTGCTGTTGTCATACACTGGTGCAGCTGGTAGTGCTGCTGTTGTCACACACTGGGCAGCTGGTAGTGTTTGCTGTTGTCATACACTGGTGCAGCTGGTAGTGCTGCTTTTGTCATACACTGGTGCAGCTGGTAGTGCTGCTGTTGTCATACACTGGTGCAGCTGGTAGTGCTGCTGTTGTCATACACTGGTGCAGCTGGTAGTGTTGCTGTTGTCATACACTGGTGCAGCTGGTAGTGCTGCTGTTGTCATACACTGGTGCAGCTGGTAGTGTTGCTGTTGTCATACACTGGTGCAGCTGGTAGTGCTGCTGTTGTCATACACTGGTGCAGCTGGTAGTGCTGCTGTTGTCATACACTGGTGCAGCTGGTAGTGCTGCTGTTGTCATACACTGGTGCAGCTGGTAGTGCTGCTGTTGTCATACACTGGTGCAGTTGGTAGTGCTGCTGTTGTCATACACTGGTGCAGCTGGTAGTGCTGCTGTTGTCATACACTGGTGCAGCTGGTAGTGCTGCTGTTGTCATACACTGGTGCAGCTCGTAGTTCTGCTGTTGTCATACACTGGTGCAGCTGGTAGTTCTGCTGTTGTCATACACTGGTGCAGCTGGTAGTGCTGCTGTTGTCATACACTGGTGTAGCTGGTAGTGCTGCTGTTGTCGTACACTGGTGCAGCTGGTAGTGCTGCTGTTGTCATACACTGGTGGAGCTGGTAGTGCTGCTGTTGTCATACACTGTTGCAGCTGGTAGTACTGCTGTTGTCATACACTGGTGCAGCTGGTAGTGCTGCTGTTGTCATACACTGGTGCAGCTGGTAGTGCTGCTGTTGTCATACACTGGTGCAGCTGGTAGTGCTGCTGTTGTCATCCACTGGTGCAGCTGGTAGTGCTGCTGTTGTCATCCACTGGTGCAGCTGGTAGTGCTGCTGTTGTCATACACTGGTGCAGCTGGTAGTGCTGCTGTTGTCATACACTGGTGCAGCTGGTAGTGTTGCTGTTGTCATACACTGGTGCAGCTGGTAGTGCTGCTGTTGTCATACACTGGTGCAGCTGGTAGTGCTGCTGTTGTCACACAGAGTGATGGCTCTCATAAAGAAATTGGAGCACGCATCAATAACTGGGCCTCTACCCTTCAAACAGAACTGTTTGCCATACTCCTTGCACTCAAATGCGTCCATGTATCTAAGGTTGACACTTTAATTGTAACTGATTCTCTGCCACCCATAAATGCTCTCAACTCATTAAGTATAAATTGTGGCATGCTTGTGTCAGAAGCCAGACACAGGTATGGTAGGATTGTGGACAGTGGAGTCAGAGTGCACATGCTGTGGATTCCATCTCACATTGGTCTTCAGATGCATGATAGAACTGATAAATTGGCTAAGCTGTATGCTTTCAAAGAGGGGGTAGATTACAATCTTGGCTTGTCAGTTAGCAGTTTGAGAACAATAATACAAAAAGAACTTCAAATGACCTTTATTGGCTTAAGACTTAGGGAGATTGACACCAGTCAGTCCATCTATCATCATTCCATCATGCAGGAGGAGCCACATGTCTATGGTGCATCCAACAAAATAAGCAGACTCTTGGATGTCACTACTGCCCGGCTCCGGCTGGGTTACAAGTATCTTTGGCAGGTTAAATCACCACCACCAGATGTAGACCAAACGAAATGTAAACTTTGCCAGATGGACTATTGTCACACCCTGCGTCATTATGTACTGGAGTGCGTCACACCCTGCGTCATTATGTACTGGAGTGTGATAAAATTAATGAATTTAGAGACAACTCACTCAGAAATGTTCAAGAAATGGCAAAGTATTTTATCCACAGTGGTATATTACAGACCATTCTGGAGAAATACCCTGACTTTGTTCACTATAAATACAGCATTACCACGTGTGTGTGTGCTTGTGTGTGTGTATGTGTTTGTATGCGCGTGTGCGTATGTGTGTGTCTGTGTGTGCGCACTCGTGTGTGTCTGTATGATCCACTTAATATTTGTATTTATAACTCATTACAATTGTGACCAGGTGTGGACGTATCAGTGGTTCATTACTTTGTAATTTGTTCATGACTGTAACCATGTATAGGAGTGAGGCTGATTCATTACCTCTGTAACTTACCATGATTGTGACCAGATCTACCTGGAGTTCATTACCTTTGTAACTAGTTCAGCTATCATACCTTTGGGGTCCAGTCCCTGGACCCATTATGTACCTCTGTAATCTTTTGACTACTGCCCACAAGATGGGTATGGTGTGACTACCGCCCACAGGATGGGTGTGGTGTGACTACTGCCCACAGGATGGGTATGGTGTGACTACCGCCCACAGGATGGGTGTGGTGTGACTACTGCCCACAGGATGGGTATGGTGTGACTACCGCCCACAGGATGGGTGTGGTGTGACTACCGCCCACAGGATGGGTGTGGTGTGACTACCGCCCACAGGATGGGTACGGTGTGACTACTGCCCACAGGATGGGTGTGGTGTGACTACCGCCCACAGGATGGGTGTGGTGTAACTACCCCCCACATGATGGGTATGGTGTGACTGCCACCTACAGGATGGGTATGGTGTGACTACCGCCCACAGGATGGGTATGGTGTGACTACCACCCACAGGATGGGTGTGGTGTGACTACCACCCACATGATGGGTATGGTGTGACTACCACCCACATGATGGGTATGGTGTGACTAACACCCACATGATGGGTATGGTGTGACTACCACCCACATGATGGGTATGGTGTGACTACCACCTACAGGATGGGTATGGTATGACTACCACCTACAGGATGGGTATGGTGTGACTACCACCTACAGGATGGGTATGGTGTGACTACCACCTACAGGATGGGTATGGTGTGACTACCACCTACAGGATGGGTATGGTGTGACTACCACCTACAGGATGGGTATGGTGTGACTACCACCTACAGGATGGGTATGGTGTGACTACCACCTACAGGATGGGTATGGTGTGATTACCACCTACAGGATAGGTATGGTGTGACTATCACCTACAGGATGGGTATGGTGTGACTACCACCCACAGGATGGGTATGGGGTGACTACCACCTACAGGATGAGTATGGTGTGACTGCCACTCACAGGATGGGTATGGTGTAACTACCGCCCACAGGATGGGTATGGTGTAACTACCACCCACAGGATGGGTATGATGTAACTACCACCCACAGGATGGGTATGGTGTAACTACCGCCCACAGGATGGGTATGGTGTAACTACCACCCACAGGATGGGTATGGTGTAACTACCGCCCACAGAATAGGTATGGTGTGACTACCACCCACAGGATGGGTATGGTGTATCTACCGCCCACAGGATGGGTATGGTGTAACTACCACCCACAGGATAGGTATGGTGTAACTACCACCCACAGGATGGGTATGGTGTAACTACCACCCACAGGATGGGTATGGTGTAACTTCCGCCCACAGGATGGGTATGGTGTAACTACCGCCCACAGGATGGGTATGGTGTAACTACCACCCACAGGATGGGTATGGTGTAACTACCGCCCACAGGATAGGTATGGTGTGACTACCACCCACAGGATGGGTATGGTGTAACTACGGCCCACAGGATAGGTATGGTGTGACAACCACCCACAGGATGGGTATGGTGTGACAACCACCCACAGGATGGGTATGGTGTGACAACCACCCACAGGATAGATATGGTGTGACAACCACCCACAGAATGGGTATGGTGTGACAACCACCCACAGGATGGGTATGGTGTGACAACCACCCACAGGATAGGTATGGTGTGACAACCACCCACAGGATGGGTATAGTGTGACAACCACCCACAGGATAGGTATGGTGTGACAACCACCCACAGGATGGGTATGGTGTAACTACCGCCCACAGGATAGGTATGGTGTGACAATCACCCACAGGATGGGTATGGTGTGACAACCACCCACAGGATGGGTATGGTGTGACAACCACCCACAGGATGGTTATGGTGTAACTACCACCCACAGGATGGGTATGGTGTGACAACCACCCACAGGATGGGTATGGTGTAACTACCACCCACAGGATGGGTATGGTGTGACAACCACCCACAGGATAGGTATGGTGTGACAACCACTCACAGAATGGGTATGGTGTGACAACCACCCACAGGATGGGTATGGTGTGACAACCACCCACAGGATGGGTATGGTGTGACAACCACCCACAGGATGGTTATTGTGTAACTACCACCCACAGGATGGGTATGGTGTGACAACCACCCACAGGATGGTTATGGTGTAACTACCACCCACAGGATGGTTATGGTGTAACAACCACCCACAGGATGGGTATGGTGTAACTACCACCCACAGGATGGTTATGGTGTAACTACCACCCACAGGTTGGGTATGGTGTGACAACCACCCACAGGATGGTTATGGTGTAACAACCACCCACAGGATGGGTATGGTGTGACAACCACCCACAGGATGGTTATTGTGTAACTACCACCCACAGGATGGGTATGGTGTGACAACCACCCACAGGATGGTTATGGTGTAACTACCACCCACAGGATGGTTATGGTGTAACAACCACCCACAGGATGGGTATGGTGTGACAACCACTCACAGAATGGGTATGGTGTGACAACCACCCACAGGATGGGTATGGTGTGACAACCACCCACAGGATGGGTATGGTGTGACAACCACCCACAGGATGGTTATTGTGTAACTACCACCCACAGGATGGGTATGGTGTGACAACCACCCACAGGATGGTTATGGTGTAACTACCACCCACAGGATGGGTATGGTGTAACTACCACCCACAGATGGGTATGGTTGTAACTACCACCCACAGGATGGGTATGGTGTGACAACCACCCACAGGATGGTTATGGTGTAACTACCACCCACAGGATGGGTATGGTGTAACTACCACCCACAGGATGGGTATGGTGTAACTACCACCCACAGGATGGGTATGGTGTAACTACCACCCACAGGATGGTTATGGTGTAACTACCACCCACAGGATGGTTATGGTGTAACTACCACCCACAGGATGGGTATGGTGTAACTACCACCCACAGGATGGGTATGGTGTAACTACCACCCACAGGATGGGTATGGTGTAACTACCACCCACAGGATGGGTATGGTGTGACAACCACCCACAGGATGGTTATGGTGTAACTACCACCCACAGGATGGGTATGGTGCATATAATAAACATTAACTACCGCCAGACCGGAAGGACCTGCTGCCATATATATTATAATCATTTTTTTTCTCTCAATTGTTTGTTGGCAGATTTTACTGAAACTATGTCACATCATTCTAAATATATGCTTCTACAGGTACACCAAGAAGATAAAATGGACGACAAATAACAGAGACACCGGAAGCAGGGTAACTCCTCCCTTAAGTTTGCGTAAACTCACACAGATCAGACAGATGTGCAGCCTCTCACTGATCAAAGTTGCTCAATTAAACACGGATCGTTCCTGCACAATATGCTCGGCTCATCCAAAATAAGCTGGGTTCGAGCCTCTAGCTGTGATATTATGGGCTTATTTCCATACCTCTGTTGCCCTTATTAACATAGAATAAATAAGTACCCAAGTCTCGATCAACTGTTGTGGACGGAATTTTGGGAGAATTCAGTAACCTAGGATAACACATTAGCCTGTATATTCAGTTATCCACCGAAAGAAATATAGCAAAACTCACCCTTCCACCCTTCGGAAACTTGTCTCCTTGCATATAATAGGCCATTGCGTTCTATAGTATGAAGGAAATGCGAAGTGTCTGGTAGTTACTAATGTCAAGTTATACGACGTAGAAGCAGTGCCGAGCACCGAGTTCAGCTTAAGTAACGCCAGACTGCCAGTATCCCCTAGTACCTAACATGCCGTTCTCTTACAACTTCCTAGATTTTTCCCTGCCTATCGCGGGTGTCAGGACACTTCCTCACACCGCTACTACCCACTGATATGTCTCCAGTCCTATGGCATTTGTTTTAAGATGAAGGAAATGGAAAACGAGGTCACACTATTGGCTCAAACTCGACAGTGACAATGAACTACGACAACTGAGAATTCGTACTACTATCGTCCATCTGAATATCTAAAAATCATTATTTTATAGTTACAATTCTTTATTAAAGTCATGTATAAATATACATCATTTACCAATTAACAATATATAAACGAAAAAATTAACTCCCTATATATCAAAATAGATATCTTGTCGATACATGCCATAAGGGTATCGCCAGAAACTTTTACAATATATTGTATATTCATATTCTTGTAGGGAATATAGACCCGGGCAGGGAGAGCACCGGCGAATAAAAAAAATATAAAAATGTATTAAATATAGAAAGAGAATAAATGTGGGTGCAGTGTATGAAGGCAGCAAGAATGATTCACAGTGTAAGGTATGTTGTTTCTGTCCCGTCATTTACACGTTCACTTCACGACCACCACTAACACCCACTAACATTACTGCTGCCTCAGCCTTTTATTATAATTATTATTATTATTATTATTATTATTATTATTATTATTATTATTATTATTATTCTAATATTTAAATAGGTGGCTGTAGCTCATTATAATAGTACTTTTATTATTATTATTATTATTATTATTATTATTATTATTATTATTATTATTATTATTATTGTTATTAACAATGCCCGACCATTCCACAGTCACTACCACAATCACGACCAAGTATTTCAGAACCAAGTGAGAGAGTAAAGGAGAGGAGGAAAATGAGAGGAACAGGAGTATCGGAGTGTGAAAATGGAGATATCACGAAGGGAGGAAATCACGAAGGAAGGGAATCACGAAGGAAGGGTATCAGGAAGGGAGGGATAAAGTCAGGAATGTAAGAAGGGCATAAGAGAGAGAGGTAGGAACAAAAACTTGTGTTATGTAAAACTTTAGGAAATACATTTTGGCGCAAAATTTTAGAAAAGCAAGTTGGTATGTGAGGGACCATAATTACACACACACTTACAAAAAGCGCGATGTCTAATAATGAAGATCTCCAGTGAATACTAGACAGGTCTGCCCCTCTAGCATCCAGCCTGTTACTGGGTTTTTGTAACAAGTAGTTAGTATCCTGGTCCAATTATCCATTAGAATTTAATAATTCAATAGTGCTTCAGGATTACAACTGGTAGGCTACTAACTAAAGAAAGTAAAATTTAATGTTTATTAATAAAGATAAAGTTGTATAGGTGGACAATATCATAGAAAATCAAAGTAATCTATTTAATATAATATAGGATACAAGTTGCTACACTTCTCTCGTGTACAGTAGTATTGTGCTGAAGGCACATATCATATCTTTATGGATTTTAAGTAGTCTGGTACATTGTCAGCATTTAAGAACATAATACTAATTTATACAAGTGAGTATGTGTGTATGGGGCTCTGGTGGCCTGGTGGTTAACGCTCTCGCTTCACACGGTGAGGGCCTGGGTTCGATTCCCAGCCAGAGTAGAAACATTGGACGTGTTTCTTTCAACCTGTTGTCTATGTTCCCCGTCAGTAAAATGGGTACCTGGGTGTTAGTCGACTGGTGTGGGTCGCATCCTGGGACACTGACCTAAGGAGGCCTGGTCACAGACCGGGCCGCGGGGGCGTTGATCCCCGGAACTCTCTCCAGGTAATGTGTGTAAGTGCTCTAAGTAGTTCGCTATGTCTCAAGACTCGACTCGACTTAACCAGTGACTGACTAAAAGTCCTCACATAAACTAACTTCTTGACCAACCTAGCAATCAGAACAGCTTGCTTGAACAGCAAAACGACTGATTCGCTGAACAGCAATATAACAAGCAACAGCGACACAGTATCAGGAACAAGGAGATAATATAACGACACTAAGTAGGGACCATCTGCAGATCCTCCACAAAAGTCACAAAACTCCCATACTACTGAATCCACATTGAACAAATGTGACACCACCTATGACTGCTGCACCTCTCCTGCCATACGGTTTATAAGCTGCTTCTCCGCTCATATGCCGTATTCTACTCAAGATTGATGGACTGAACACATCGACTCTAGGTTGAGGGACTTATTACCTCATTCTCCTCCTGTTCTTCAAGTTTCTCCTATGTATGGACTGATGAAGCCACGGTGTGGCGAAACGTTTCCTCAATAAAGATACCCAAGAGTTGCACATGTGTCTAATTTATCAACATGTCGGTTCTCTGAACCATTTAGCCCATTGTTCCCGGCATTTTAGTTGACTTTTACAACACGCATGGCTTACGGGGGAAAGATTCTTACTCCACTTCCCCATGAATATAAAAGGAAAAGTAATAAGACCAAGAACTATTAAGATAAAATCAAAGAAAACTCAGATGAGTGTGTATAAATAAATGTGTACATGTATGTGTAGTGTGACCTAAGTGTAAGTAGAAGTAGCAAGACGTACCTGTAATCTTGCATATTTATGAGACAGACAAAAAGACACACACACACACATATATATATATATATATATATATATATATATATATATATATAAAATATATAATATATATAAAATATATATATATATATACAGACCGATTCGGGTACCATGGTCTTGTGTGCCGTAAATCCGAGGGAAAGATTGCAAGACATGAGGAGGTTAATAACATTATCAAGAGGAGCCTCACAACAGCTGGATGCCCAGCAGTAAGGGAGCCACCCCAACTATGCAGATCTGATGGCAGCCAGAAGCGTCCAGATGGTATCACCCTTCAAGCCTGGACAGATGGGAAGCAGGTGGTGTGGGACTATACATGTGCATCTACCTTGGCTGATACCTATCTCCAATACACCAGGGAGGAAGGAGGGGCAGCTGCCAGCTTCAGGGAGTCCCAAAAGTCTAGAAAATATGGAGAACTTGCCCATCATTATATGTTTGTTCCCATAGGCTCAGAGACCCTTGGCTCATGGGGAAAGAGTGCATCTAAATTCCTTAAGGAGCTGGGAAAAAGACTCATCAGGGTAACTAGGGATCCCAGGGCAGCTAGTTTTCTGTTCCAGCGGCTCAGTGCGGCTGTTCAAAGGGGTAATGCCTGCTGTATTTTGGGCACACGCCCCAGCTCGGAGGAGCTGGATGAGATTTTCGCCTTATAATCGGTGATACACACGTAACAACATGTACCGTATATGCCACCTTTATATCAAAAAATGTATCTCTTAAATCTTCTGTACCATATTATGTAATAAAATATTCCTATTAGTAATATATATATATATATATATATATATATATATATATATATATATATATATATACATATATATACACACGCACACACAGAGTAATATTTTGTAAAATCATCTCTTACTTAGCATTGTGCATATACTCCAAATATGAGTTCTGGTATCTATAAACTCGACAGACCATAATATTGCTCATAAACTTCCTCTTCAAGGTGGGCTCCTTGCCATGGTAAAAAGGCTTTTGGTCTGAGGAAATGGGCCTTTCATTCTTCCTCCAAGCAAACATAACAACCCCCACTCCCCCCCTTTCTTGGTCCATTCTCCCCATCCCTCTTTTTCTCGTCCCTCTCCTTTCTTGTTTTGGCCTTTGGGATCCTCCCCTCCAAAATATTCCTCCTAGATTGAGGAAAGAGTGACATTGCTCGTCCCATTCTGTTGAGGTCCTTGAATCATCTAGAGATGCCCTGATCTCCCTCCAGAGTCCCAGGGGCCAGCTTACGGTGTCCTTTGGGATGACGGGTGTATCTCTGGAGACTACCTGTCGGTTCCGGGAGGTGGTGGCTGAATGAGGTATGCCTTGCGGCAGGCTTCCGACCACCCTCGCTTTTGTCTGCCAAGGTGGCTCGGTCCCACTGAGGACCTTTTGGGTCTAGAGGGGCGATATACGATCCTTTTCATTCCTCCTAGGAGCTACCCCTCAATGTACCTTTTTTCGAAAAAGACAAAAATAAAGGAAAAAAAGAAACCTTACATGGAATCCCATGTCCATAAAATTCTTCCTCCCAGATCCCTTTACACTGTGGCATCCCCTCACTACCTCTCTAACAACCCAGTACCTTTTTCAGGTAACATATCGTTGCCTGCCTCTGGTACCGAGGTTCTGCCTTACCCTTTTGATATGTCTGACATCTGAACGTCTTTGACCATGCTTCCGGCTTCTCCCTTTACAGTATGACGATTTTTAGATCACCCACCCATCTCAGGGCAGCGTACGAGCCACAGCCCGGCTGATCCGGCACTGGCTTTAGGTATCTCTCCAGCTCTCTCTTGAAGGCAGCCAAGGGTTTATTGGCAATTCCCCTAATGCTTAATGGGAGGCTGTTGAACAGTCTTGGGCCCCGGACGCTTATGGTGTTTTCCCTTAGTGTACCAATGGCGCCCCTACTTTTTATTGGGGGCATTTTGCATCGCCTGCCCAGTCTTTTACTTTCGTAGGGAGTGATTTCTGTGTGCAGATTTGGGACCATTCCTTCCAGGATTTTCCAAGTGTAGATTATGATATATCTCTCCCTCCTGCGTTCCAACGAGTACAAGTCAAGTGCTTCCAAGCGTGGGGCAAGTGTGCTCTAAAGTTTCACAAAGAGCTGGGTGAAAAACTCAAAATAGAAACCAAGGACCACAGGGCGGCCAGCTTCCTCTTTCAGAGACTCAGTGTTGCGATCCAGAGAGGAAATGCCTGCAGCATTCTGAGCAAGTGGCCAACTGCCAGGGAGCTGGACGAAGCATTCGAGATGTAGCTCTGAATTATCTAAGTTGTTTTACTCAATATTGTATTTTTGTCAATGTATTTTGTCACTGTATTTTGTTTTTAAGTAAAGTATATGTAGAATATATAGGGGGCGGTAGGATAAA